GATAGATAGATAGATAGATAGATAGATAGATAGATAGATAGATAGATCTATAGATCTCTATCTATATCATCTCTATCTATATTATCTCTATCTATATTATCTCTATCTATATCATCTCTATATCATCTATATCTAATCTAGATAGATAGATGATAGATAGATAGATAGATAGATAGATAGATAGATAGATAGATAGATAGACAGACAGACAGTGATGTAGAAATACAGATAGAAATAGATAGAGAGATAGAAATAAATAGATTTATAAATAGATTAGGACAACATCAGAAGATGTGGAGAGACCTGGCCCATAGAATCACCAAGAGTTGGACATGACTAAATGGATAACATCATCATCATATAGGCATATAGGTATATAAACAAACTTGAGTTTATGATCATAATTTATTGCCACAGAAATTAATCCCTAGTATGAAGATGGTTGGGTGAATATTTTATTACCAACAAAAATTACCAATTCTCTTCAGTTACTTATTTTTCCTATTTTCCTATTTCTTGAAGGAATTTTTTCCAGTATGTTAAAGGGGGGGGGGGCAATTGGGGTAAAACAACCAGCAATATTATCATCCTTTTGCACCCTAAATTGCAAATTTGGGTTTAGAAAAAGAACGATATTCAATGCTGAAACAATGAAAAAAAGTATAATTCAAACCCCTAAAATCACGGCCACATCTTCCCTTTCTACATTGAAGAAGTACATCATTTACCTGATCCGGATTGTGTACTAGGGGACAATTATCACAATGATCACCAACTCCATCTCTATCTGTATCTATCTGGTCTGTGTTGTAGACATATGGGCAGTTGTCACGATCATTGAAAATATCTGCCAGGATGAAAAAGCAATATAAATGAAACCAGATGTTCAGATTCCAGTCAAAACAACATTTTTTTCAAGAGTTAGTACAGGAATGGAGGGGGTTTTTTTTACCCCATTTTACCCTTCCCCTAAGTCTGAATGAAGGATGGTCAAATGAGAGTAATTAGCCTGGGATTCTCCCATATGTTTCATAGCCCATGGGTCACTCTGGACTCAAGACATGAAGAATATATTGAACTTGGTGCTGCTAGACCAAATGGTTCAGGCCAGGTCCTATCTTAGACAGCAATCTGTTTTTCATAGTAGCCTGCAAGCTGTAGATGGAGGTCTATCCAGGGGTGGGATTCTACCAGTTCGCAACTATTCGCTAGAACCGGTTGTTAACATTCTAAGCAGTTCAGAGAACCAGTTGTTAGAAGAAATTACTGGGCTAATCCTGTAAGGAAGGCAGGAAGGAAACATTCTGTTGTTGCTTATAGAAACTGCCTCCCCGTTAACCCTTATTACATTCTTGGCTGGACTAGACTTCCTGTATCAGGATCGTCTCTGGAGTTTTTCCCCCTCCTTTGCTGGTACTTTGCTTGTGTGGAGTGACCATTCAAAGTTACAATGGCACTGAAAAAAGTGACTTATGACCATTTTTCACACTTAGGACTGTTGCAGCATCCCCACAGTCATAAGAGGCCAGGCAAGGAGATGCATGCCTCGATGTGAGTGATATTGAGTTGGCCACACCCAGCCAATAACATGACTACCAAGCCATGCCCACCAACTAAGCCACACCCACAGAACCAGTTGTTAAAAAATTTGAATCCCGCCCCTGGGTGTATCCCTCTTGAACTGGTTTTCTGTTACAACTGGTATGTATTTGAAGGCATGTTGTGACTAGCCCAGAGGTAACAGCGAACCTTCCAGACTGAAAGACATCTACCCCATCCAGATGTCGATGGGGCAAGTGAGGAAATATGCACAGGGACATGAGGTTGCAAGAATGAAAGATCAGGAGTTTTTATCATTTTAGTTAATAGCATCTTCGTATGCCTCCAGTTTTAAAGTCATCCAGTTATTAGACATCAACTGTCTTGTAATAGTGAAATCCACAGGTCAATTCAGATTCTGAGCAAAACAGTTACATATCTATTGTAGTCTCCTTTGTCTGTTAAAGATGTGTTTGCTTTGCCATGCTTTCCCTAAATTACAGCCCACAGTCAAAAAAAAATTACAACATTATAGATACCACCTATAGGATCGCGCTTTCTGTTTCCAAGCTGATCAAATATCTTCAAGATATCACATCACTGAGTCAACTTTTAGGTTCATTCTAAAATGGCCTATTTCTCCTATACATAATTTTGCATGTTATACTACTTAAGAATACTACCAAATAATTTTGTGCCAAAGGCATTGATCAGTTCAAGGTATCAATTTTGAAAAGACTCTCTATGTTTTGGTGAGGATTCAGAACTCAGTTGATAGAAAACCATCAGGTATCTTCCCAAATTCCTACCAGGCCAGTTTTTGATGAAAACAAGATGTAAAACACATTTACATGAGCTATATTAGTGTTTGCTTGTGTGTGTGTGTGTGTATGTGTGTGTGTGTGTGTGTTGTAGTTATTGTTGTTGTTATTTTTGGTGACGACCATCATTTGTAAACTCAGGAATATGAACCAGAATGTAAAGATAAATGCATAAATCCTTTTACATACACTGTTCTATCTTTGTCAAACACATTTTATTTCAGTAGATAATTTATAAATGACTCATTGTAAAACTATTATTGAGTCAGAAATCTTTTCTGATTGACTACAAATCAGAAGTGCCCATTCTTGAATGTTAATATATTCCTTGAAAGGGTATTATGACATATACTTCCAGAAAATGATGGAAGTTGATAAGGTTTTCCTGTATATTTCAATTATATTTCTGTTCGTTTGTTTTTTCTTGCAATTTTGCCAGAACATCAACCAAGAAATAAGTCCAATCATTAATGTATGGGAAACTTTCAAATTTCTTCTGATATACATATCCAATATGCATATTCACTGAACCAAATCCAAGGCTTAAAGGTTATCTCCTCTGCTTTCTAATCTTGCCCAAACTGGAAAGTGAGATTCAGCTGCCAAGAAGTGCTACAACAACATCCTTAGGATATTAATCTTTCAGGCTGCAAGTCATGCCAAAATGAATAAACCCAAAGGCATTAAAAATATATCAAAGCTATTTGGGTTGGTAGATTTTTCAAAGCTGGGCTACTGTTCAGATTATATTTGCCAGTTTAATAATGTTAAATATCTACCATTGATTTTTCTCTCCCTTTCAGCCAAACATGTAATTTACGATCCTTATTATTCTAAGATCTAAAATAATTTCCTTTCTTTTCTCCAGGCATTTTGGCAAGCACTTCAGGCGGAGACATTTATTTGACTGGCACATCAAATATGGTTTTTCATGCAAGTGTATTCTACATAAATATTTTAATTTCTTTAATTTCTTGTGAACTCCCATAGAATATTATTGGATGGCCTACAAAAACATATGAAATAACTTTAAAAAAATTGCCAGACCATAATTATACTTGCCTTTCTTATTAAGTTTAGATATCAAATGAGTGTGATAGTATTAGAAAATATCTGTTTGTATATAGCTTTTGTCCATAAGGAGTTGCTTAACTGACCTATTTGCCTATTTTATTTCAGAGTAGAGTACCTTGGAAAACATGATGAAGTGTCATCAGTATTACATAATTATTTGTCCAATAAGTATCACCATAACCCACAGTTTCAGGGGATATTGCCAAAAATGATCCCACAATTCATGGAAAACTTTGATTGAAAGAGTCTTCCATAGATGTATCTCCCTCTCACCCCCCATTGATAAAACCAATATAATAAATCATGGATTGATCATTATTTTGGTCACTACCAGTCAAAACATTCATTGTTGCTGGCAATATCTGTCCTTTCAGTTACAAAAAGAATGAGCCAAAACTAAAGATAAAAGATGTTAGCATATGAACAATGAATAAAATAAATGTGAATATAATTCACTTCTGAATTTCAGCCATACATTGCACATTATCTTTACAATCGAAAAAGATGGGTATAAGTACTTGGATTACAGATGTTTCCAGAAATATATCTTGATATGGAATGGAAGTTAATCTAGACTACTTTCTAGAAAGAAAATGGAAGAGAGTAGAGTAGATGCATACCATCTCCATCAATATCTACTGCACACGCATCACCCTCTCCATTATGATTGGTGTCAATCTGAGCAGGATTGTGCACATATGGACAGTTATCACAACGATCACCAACTTCATCTTTATCATAATCATATTGCCGGGGATTAAAAAGAAGTGGACAATTGTCCTAAAAGAAGAAGCAAAATCATAGAATAAACATGGGAGTACACATCAAGTTTGGAAAAAAAATTCCTTTTTCTCTAAACCAAATAATATGCCCCACATATTACACTCCAATGGTTTGAAAAAAAATTGTGGAAAACTCTTTTCTAGATGGCACCATCCTCCATGAAATTACAAATGGCTACTTGATTTACTTTTGTAATAAAAAGGGATATAGCAGAGGTGGTATTCAGCAGGTTCAGACCAGCTCTGGAGAACCAGTACCAGAAATTTTGAGTAGTTCAGAGAACCAGAAAATACCACTTCTGACTGGAGATTTTACAATATCCTCCCCCTGCCATGGCCCCAAGCCACACCCACAGAATTGGTAGTAAAAAGGTTTGAATCCCACCATGGGATAAAGGACTTCTCTTAATGCCCCTGCTCCCTCCCCATCCAGGAAATAGTTTTTCTTGAAAGCTCTGACAATTTGGTTGCGTACACCTGTTGGTTGACATGTAATATAACTTTTGCTCCTAGATTTTAAGGATTTTCCATTTATAATAATTAGAAAACATTCCTAGGCTCATGTCAGTTTGGTGTATATGAAATTAATGAATGATTGATTTGCAAATGGTCTCATTCTATGCTATATTTTTGGCAAGAACTGCATCTCTTGCACTACTTATGGAAATAAACCTAATAAATTATCCTAGGTGTCATTATCCAAATGTTATTGTTCACCCAGAATCATTTGGATAGTGAGATAGGTGGCATATAAATTTAACAAATAAATAATAAACAAATTATTTTAATAGTCCCAGATGAATGCTGTAATATGCATGAAATAATAAAAAAATGGCACAAACTCATTGAGAATTAGGATATTACATATGGAGTATGCAAATTCAGTAATATCAATAAAGAAAAAATTATCATAGAAAACTGAGACACCTCAAAAAAACTGATCATGTACTGATAGTTACCATATTTATTTCTTCTGAAAGGAAAATACAGTTTAATGTAGGAAATATGAGCTTACTTTATCATCTACTACACCATCATTGTCATCATCTTCATCACAAGCATCACCTTTTCCATCCTTATCAAAATCTTCTTGTCCAGAATTTGGCAGGAAAGGACAATTATCCTGTATAAACAATGATCTTGGATCAGTATATATTTTAATTTCAAAGACAGATAATAATGCCATGTTTTGGGCAATAAAAAACTTCAGCCTAGAAGTTCTGAATGTATTTCTAAAGTAATAATGGTTAAAGAGATATAAGTATTTATGTTTTTTATAAACTTTCAAGCACTAAGAAAAACCAGCATTTGGTTGTGTTAAATAATATTGCTAAATTGTCATAATATCAAATGACATCTTCTACTATTTGATGTTTCTGGTAGATTGTCAAAGGAAGCCATTTAAATCTTGGTTAAATCTAGTTATGGGCTGAACTGTATCTTCTAAATAATTACCTTCTAAATAATTAAAACATTACATTTATGTCTTCCAAATAGATTAGCCTAATTAGTTAGACTATGCTAATGAAAAGAACTGCTTCCCCAACCTGCAACCAAGAAGGCTCCACCCCCATTTGCTCTACTCAGGTGACCCAGAGGGCACAGATGAACCTCCAAGTGCCTTAACAGCTCACCAAGAACATGCAAATAATCAGCTGTCTGCACGGAATATAAATCCTTCCATGGATGAGAATAGAATAGAATAGAATAGAATAGAATAGAATAGAATAGAATAGAATAGAATAGAATAGAATACTTTATTGGCCAAGTGTGATTGGACACACAAGGAATTTGTCTTGGTGTAAATACTCTCAGTATACATAAAGAAAAGGTACATTTGTTAAGAATCAAGAATCATAACGTACAACACTTAATGATAGTCATAGGGTACAATCAAATCATACTAGGAAACAGTCAATATAAATTGTAAGGATACAAGCAACAAAGTTACAGTCCTACAATCACAAGTGGGAGGGGAGGGGTGATAAGGAGTGATGAAAAGATTAACAGTAATAGTAGTGCTAACTTTGTAAATAGTTGAACAGTGTTGAGGGAATTATTTGTTTAGCAGAGTGATGGCTTTCGGGAAAAAACTGTCCTTGTGTCTAGTTGTTCTGGTGTGCAGTGCTGTTTTGCGTTGTTTTGAGGGAAGGAGTTGAAACAGTTTATGTCCAGGATGTGAGGGGTCTGTAAATATTTTCACAGCCCTCTTTTTGACTTGTGCAGTATACAGGTCCTCAATTGAAGACAGGTGGGTAGTAATTGTTTTTTCTGTAGTCCTAATTATCCTCTGAAGTCTGTGTCTGTCCTGTTGGGTTGCAGAACCAAACCAGACAGTTATAGAGGTGCAGGTGATAAACTGAATAATTCCTCTGTATAACTGGATCAGCAGCTCCTTGGGCAGTTTGAGCTTTCTGAGTTGGCACAGAAAGAAAATTCTTTGTTGTGCTTTTTTGATGATGTTTTTAATGTTAGGTGTCCATTTTAGGTCATGAGATATAGTAGAACCTAGAAATTTGAAGGTCTCTATTGTTGATACTGTGTTGTCTAGTATTGTAAGAGGTGGTAGTATGGGAGGGTTTCTTCTAAAGTTTACCACCATTTCTACGGTTTTGAGTGTGTTTAGTTACAGATTGTTCCGGTTACACCACGAGGCAAGTTGTATAACCTCCTGTCTGTATGCAGATTCCTCGTTGTCTTGAATGAGACCAATCACTGTTGTGTCATCAGCAAACTTCAGCATTTTAACAGATGGATCGTTTGAGATGCTGTCATTGGTATATAGGGAGAAGAGATGTGGAGATAGCACACAGCCTTGGGGGGCCCCTGTGCTGATTGTACAGGTATCGGATGTGATTCCACTTAGCTTCACCTGCTGCTTCCCATCTGTTAGGAAGCTTATGATCCACTTACAAATATGTTCAGGTATTGCTAGTTGGTTTAATTTACTTAGAAGAGTGTCTGGAATGATGGTATTGAATGCTGAACTGAAGTGTACAAAGAGGACCCTTGTGTAGGTATTTGGAGATTCAAGGTGTTGTAGGATGTAATGTAGAGCCATGTTAACAGCATCATCTGTCGATCTATTTGCTTGGTATGCAAACTGCATGGGATCTAACAGTGGATCCGTGATGATTTTCAGGTGGGACAGCACTAGCCTTTCAAAGATTTTTTATAACTACAGAAGTTAGATCAAATGGTCTGTAGTCATTCAGTTCCTTGATGGAGGGCTTCTTTGTCACTGGGATGATGGTAGAACATTTGAAGCAAGAAGGAACATAGCACATCTCTAGTGATCTATTAAAGATTTTGGGTGAATATGGGGGCCAATTGGTCAGCACAGACTTTTAAGCAAGAAGGAGTTATCTTGTCTGGCCCTGGTGTTTTTTCTGGTTTCTGTCTGTGTAATAGATCTTGCTCTTCTTTTTCTGTGATAACCAAAGGTTGTGAGCCCAATGGATTGGGGCCAGTTGTAGGAGGTTTGGCTGTTGTTGGTGTGTTTTTAAGATGTGGGTTGTGGAGATAGGTGGCTGTAGTTTCTTTTCAAACCTGCAGTAAAACACATTCAGGTCATCTGCTAGTTCTTGATTTCCTTCTGCCTGGGAAGGAGGTTTGCTGAAGCCAGTGATGTTTTTAAGAGTTTTCCACAAGTTTACTGGTTCATTTGTTGAGAACTGATTCTTTAACTTTCCAGAGTAGCTTCTTTTTGCTGCTCTGATCTCTCTTGTTAATATGTTTCTGGCCTGGTTGTATAGCAATCTGTCACCTTTTCTGTAGGCTTCCTCTTTGGAACAATGTAGCTGCTTAAGTTTAGCTGTGAACCAAGGTTTACTGTTACGATATATTTGCCGGTTCCTTGTTGGTACACATAAGTCTTTACAGAAGCTAAACTGATGTTACAGTATCTGTGAGCTCATCTAGGTCTGCAGAGCCATCTTCAAAAACATTCCAATAAGTGCAATCAAGGCAGGCTTGGAGTTTCAGCTTTGCCTCATCTGACCAAGTCTTCACTGATTTAATTGTTGGTTTAATGGTTTTAAGTCTTTGTCTGTAGGCAGGTACAAGGTGAATCATGCAGTGGTCAGAGTGTCCCACAGCTGCTCGTGGTAAACACCTATAAGCATCTTTTATTGTTGTGTAGCAGTGGTCTAAAGTATTTTTGCCTCTGGTGGGACAATATTTTGGGAGTTCTTTCCTTAAATTTGCTTAATTGAAATCTCCTAAAATGGGAAGGGAACCTGGGTGTTTGGCTTCAGCATCCATAATTTGCAAGAATTTGTAATGCTTTGTTTACACAGGCTTGTGGAGGAACATACACAGCTATTAGGAGAAATGAGGAGAACTTCACATGGAGAGTAAAATGGCTTGCAGTTGATGTGTAAAGACTTTTAAGTTTTCATCACAAAACTTACATATTATAGTTATATCCTGAGACCAGCTGTTGTTGATATATAAACATAATCCTCCACCCTTTGTTTTACCTGATGTCTCTTCAATTCTGTCTGATCTAAATGTCTGAAATTCTGGGATGTAAATGGTGTTGTCCCCATGAATTTGTGGATTAAGCCAGGTTTCAGTAAAACAAAGAACAGCTGAATTGCGAAAATCAGAATTCCATCTATTTAAGAGATGAATTTCATCCATCTTGTAAGCCAATGAGTGTAAATTAGTCAGAAAGATTGAAGGGAGAGGAGTTTTTTTTTCCCTATTCCTTAGAATCGAATAGAAGTGAAACATCTTCAGAGAAAAAACAAGAAAGTCCAGTTGCCTCCTGAAAAAGCACCTTTGGGACCACCATGACCTGAATGACTGAGAATCTCCATAGACATGAGAGAAATATATCATTTACGTTATTTCTATCTATAGTGGCCTAACACATAGTAAAAGAGAAATAATTCAAAATTCAGAACTGGAGAGAAATGATAACTGGAGCTTTAATAAAGCTTGATAAAGTCACCATGATAAAGCCAGGCCTGTGGAAGACCATTTAAAAATACAGTATAACACCCTATTTTCAATTTAGACATTTAGGACCTCTCTACTTCATATACTCAGAGGTGAGCTGCTGGGGGTTCGCTAAGATTCTGTGCAGTTCAGAGAACCTCCAAATCCCACTCCTAGCTGGCTCCGCCCACCCTGCTTCTTCCCTCTCAGGAGTCCCCACATGGCCTGTTTTGGATGCAGGTAAGTGAAGGGTACATGCAGAGACTCAGGGAGGGCAAAAAATGGCCCATTTCCGGCTTCCAGAGAGCCTCCAGAGCCCAGAGAGGCCATTTTTGCCCTCCTGGAGGCTCAAGGAAAGCCTCCAGAGCCCAGGGTGAGCAAACCCCCCACACCACCATGGTGTAGGAGGCCAACTAGGCCACCTCGACCATGGCCACACCCACTCAGCAACTGGGCAGAGAACCCTTTGCTAAAATTTTTGAAGCCCGCCCCTGCATATACTTTACCTTCATGCAGTGATAAGTAGCATTGGCAGCACAGACCAGGTTACTATTGGGCCATCCATCCAAGTCAGAGTCTTCCCCACAGATGAATCCATCACCGGCATAGCCTGTCCTACATTCACACTTGTACACAGGGTCAGTGAAATGCCCCAGGTAGATGCACTCAGCTGAACTGTGGCAATTGTGTGTTTTATCTTTGCATGGGTTGGAGGGCTCACACACCTGAAAAGCAGATCATTATGCAAATAGGTCACCCAAAGCTCCTGATTAAGAGAGCTGCAAAGAAACAGACGCTTTAATTTCCCATCAGTTGTTGAGCCTTGAGCAGCACATGTTTTGTGGCTGGATCCAGATATAATCATCTTTCATTAAAAACTTGGGCAAAGACCCAAGCTACATTTGCTGGTGGAGCTAGTAAGTTAAGCATTGCTGTCAATGTAGCAATTACGAATAAGCCGCTCTTTAAGTAAAGCATAGCCTTAAGTCGAATGACATATTCCTTCACAAGTTTATCTCCCACATCTGCAGACTTCTGGATGTAATTAAACAATATAAAATGTATTATGTGAGGCAAGCATATTCAGCCCCATCCATTTCCTTTGTAATTTCAGGAAGATAAAGAAAAGAAAGAAAGAAAATCTGGAAAGTGGAATGGCAAGCGCTTTCCAGGCTGTAGCCAAAAGCGTTGCTTAGGCATGTCCACGAAGTCACCAGAACTGATGATGACATTCACTTTTTTTTAGCAGGCAACCAACAAATAAATTCCTTTTTAAAGATCCCGTAGACACAGCTAATAGACAGCAATTTCCTTTGAATGAGTCAAAGCTGCTGTTTCTACTTTGTTATTGGTTTACATTATAACTTTGATATCATACTTTTAATATTAGTTTTACATTTAGAATTCATAAACTGTATAAGTCATAAAATGGATAATGACTGAATAAAATCCAAGATAACAAAAATGGGGTGGGGGGGAATGTGGCTTTTTAGAAAATGGAGAGATATTTCAGAAAAGTATCTGGCTATGTCAAACAGCTTCACAAAAAGGACCTTGGAAGTTGGGATAGTTGTTGACTTGTATTATGTATACTCTAATTGTGTGAAACCAGAGCCTCTACATTTTTATTTAGTCAATTTGGCATATTGTTACTTCTGGATATGTTTGTGCAGGCACCAGAAACCAAGCTTGAAACTGTTTCCTTTAATCCAGTATTTCTCAAGTTTTGCAAATTTAAGATGTAATGGCTTCAACTCTCAGAATTCTTAAAAGTAGCTGAGGTTGAAAAACATTGCTTTAATCTACTTCTATGACCTACTTCTATGAGCCACCCTTTCTATATGAACACTTGTGGGAACTGGGTATGTTTAGTTGAACAAAGAAGGGGACTGGCGGTGACATGATAGGAGCCTCCCAATATTTGAAGGGCTGTCACAAGGAAGAGAAGGTTGACCTATTCTCTGGAGGACAGGAGAAGAAGTAACGAATGGAAACTTATCAAAGAGAAAGCCAACCTAAAATTAAGGAGAGATTTCCTGTCAATGAGAATAATTAACCTGTAGCATGGCTTGCCTTCAGAAGTTGTGGGTGCTCCACATTCCACCACCAGAGGCAGAGGTGGTGTTCAGCAGGCTCTGACCAGTTCTGGAGAACCGGTAGCGGACATTTTGTAATAGTTTGGAGAACTGGCAAATACCACCTCTGATTGGCCCCTCCCCCATCTATTCTCTGGTTTCCAATCCCAGCTGATTGGCTGGGTTTTCTTTTGTTGCTCTGCACAGAAGAACAGAGCTGGAAAGCAGGTTAGTGGGGTGGGGAGAGAATGGGGATTTTACAGTATCCTTCCCCTGCCATTCCCACCAAGCTACGCCCACCAAGCCACGCCCACAGAACTGGTAGTAAAAACAAATTCAATCTCACCACTGACCAGAGGTTTTTAAGAAGAGATTGGACAGCCATTCTTTTTATTCTTTTCTATAACAACAAGACTTCTAGCATGAATACATCTCCCCTATCTTCTGACACTTACTTGTTTTTCTGTTCTGGCAGCCTCTAGGCCCACCCCATATGGCTGAGTTCCTTTGTAGCGCGGAGGGCATGGTAAGCAGTGGAATCCTGGGTTGGTGTTTACACATCGATGGTTCTGATTGAATTTAAAGCAAACATCTGGCACTACAGCACACTGTCCCAGGGGGTAAAAAGTGCAAAAAGAAGCGGTGAGTTTTTTGATCAGACACTTCAAATAACAATGAAAGTTGTGATGGAATCCATATAATTCACACACAGAGAGAGAGAGAGAGAGAGAAACTCATCTACCTCATCAAGGTCCTCACAGAAGGTTCCATTTCCCAAATAACCAGCTGGACATGCACCACAGGACCATGAGCCATCAGGATAGCTATTGCATTCTGTTCCAGGAAAGCAAGGATTGGATAAACAGCCATCTGTCAAAAAGCAATTAAAAATGCATTGTTATGACAGAAGTAAAAGGGAATTCAAAATGAATGCTTCTGAAGAAGTAGCTTCCCATCCTCTCTGCAATACCCAATGTAACCTCAAAGCCTCAGAATAGCTTCTAACTCTCTCTTGTGTTCTGCATTAATCACAGCCTTGATTTCTATTGGTGTGCGAAAAATGTTTTAAATTTTAAATGTTTTGAGTTCAATTTAAAAAAAAAAGGTTGATCTGACCTTATGGGAAGTATGTGGACATTACTAACTACATTCCAGAACATTATAGATGTCAGAACAGATGTTTCAAAGCTGGAAAAGAGGCTGATTTAAGCTTAGAACATTTCTGGAGTGGTCAAGATAGTCATGGATCACTTCCACTAAATCCAAACAGCTGCTCCAAGCTCAAATATTTTGAATCTGGAAATTGAATTAGATTAGATTCTATTCTAAGTTTGCCTGGATGAGGCAGAAGAAAAATTGGGGGAGGAGAATAACAGTTTGGCCTTCTCTTTTATTTTCCTTTAGGGTTTATAAATAATTACAAATAGTAGGCAGCATTAAATATCTACTAAGTTTAAATGAATCAATGTCATTATAAATCTCAAGATTTTATTGCTTATTTAAAAGCACATGTTGATTAGTCATTTAAAAATTGATATTACGTACTTGCTTTGGTCTACAAATATGCCAAACATCAGCCAATATGATAACATTTAAATTTTTAATATTTTTACTCTCATTTTCAACTGATGTACTCTTCTTGTCAGAGAAAATGTTTCTTTGTTAATTCAGTAAAGCTGTATGAACAGTTCATAGATTATTTGGTTTCCCCTTTTCTTCTAAGACCCAGGGCAGCAATGTTACTGCATATACAATGCAAAAGGAATCATTTAGATTCAGATGACTTCTACATGTAAATCAGCTGAGGCAGGGCTGTAAAACTCCCAACCCGTGGGCCAGATGCATGGTGCACTAGCCATGCCCACACCTGGTTTAGTGAAGGGGAAAAAAGTCCCGATTCATCACATGACACTGCCATGACAATATGAGTTTGACACTCCTGAGCTAAGGTATCAACGAGCTGCAGCTCCTCCTACATACAGTATCTCACATGGATACAGTACATTAGTTTAGAACTCATGTGACATATTCACCTATTGGACAATCCTGTTTATTGCACATATCACGTTGAAGGACATCGCCTGCACAAGCCTTTCCACCATACTGAGGTTCTGGACTATTGCAGAGACGAGATCGCTCACGAATGCCTCCACCACAGGAAACTGTGCATGCAGACCATGGAGACCAAGGACCCCATCGACCATTAACTGGAAGAAGTTAGACAACAACATTTTAGCATAAGGAACAAAACTCAATCAATAAGTGATTGCAGTAACCAGGCTTAACTGGCCATTTTGTTAGTGTGATTAATATAAAGCTTCTTCTTTTTTTTTGGTCTTGTCAATATTCCAAAACACAATTTGCATCGGAGGAGGTATTCAGCAGGTTCTGACAAGTTCTGGAGAACCGGTAGCAGAAATTTTGAGTAGTTTGGAGAACCGGCAAATACCATCTCTGACTGGCCCTGCCCACATCTATTCTTTGCCTCCTGAGTCCCAGCTGATTGGCTGGGTCTTCTTTTGTTGCCCTGCACAGGAGAACGGAGCTGGAAAGCAGGTTAGTGGGCTGGGGAGGGAAGGGGATTTTGCAGTAACCTTCCCCCAGGAGTGGGGAGGGAATGGAGATTTTGCAGTATCCTGCCCATGGGCCACCAAGCCACATCCACCAAACCACATCATGCCCACCAAGCCACACCCACAGAACCAGTAGTAAAAAAAAATTGAATCTCACCACCGATTTGCATGCTCAGAGGAATTCACTAATAGTATATCATAATTCACCTATCCTAATGATTAAAGTGAGTCCGGGCTGCATTTGATGCAGGCCTCTCAAATGATGTAACTGCATTTAAAACACCTACAGTTTAATTGTCTTTCGAAGATAAATATAATCAAGAAAAAATGCACATTTTCTATTAAATTAAATGAGTCATACTAAATGGCACGGAGTTATATTCAAAACTTATCCTTAATTATTGTTGTTGATATTTTTATTACAGGGATAAGTTTCTATAACGCTGCATACTAGGACGATGCACACTTCAATAGTGATGTAAAAAATGTGCTCAGCATCTCACATAAGCCCCGTATCTCTCTGCTATTCATTATGCAACTCTTTCTTTTGCAAACTTTCCATGTGGACCTAAAAAAAGCAAGGCTGGTGCACAAGAATGAGTTTACTAGCTCTGATACCATGCACTACCTTTTTTAAAAAAAGACTATTTCATCTGTGGAAGCCTTCTATGCATTTGGAGACTCTGGTAAATCCACACTCTAAATCACATGAAGAGCTTCTATCATAGAAGATGCTTTCTACTATAGAACATGTGGACTTTGAACTCTTTCATAATACCCACGGAAGGCTTTGCTGCAGTCCATGCTTTTCATGCATATGCATATGGCTCTATTACAAGATAGAGATTCCAGTCAACAAACTCACTTGGACATGGGTCCCTTTCGCATTCTTCAGTTTCACGTCCGCCTCCTTTGCAGCTTTTCCCACCCATCTGTGGCATTGGGGAATTGCAGAGCCGTATGCGAGTGATGTTGCCTACTCCACAAGTTACAGAACAGGAAGACCAAGGTGACCAGTGACTCCAACCACCATCTTGACGTACTGATCAAGAGAAGGAAAAAATAATAATGAGCTTGCATCTTCAGCCTCAAAGAATCTAAAGGAAATTCCAGTTTATCTCTAGGTATGTATCCATTTCACTTGGCTTATAATACAATAATAATAATAATACAATTATAATTATATCTCCAACTGTTCCAGCTACTTCTTAGTCAGACTTATCAACAAATTGCACACATGGCTGTATTAACACCCATCTGGGTCAGACAGTGTAATATCTTCACCAATCAATTGCCATTTGAGCAATTCCCCCTTGGCAAAAAATAAAGGTAAAGGTTCCCCCTGCCCAGTTATGTCCAACCCTAGGTAGCAGTACTCATTTCCATTTCTTAGCTGAGGGATCCAGCATGTGCCTCCAAGCTGGAACACTGTTACCTTCCCACTGAAGTGCTACCTATTTATCTTCTTGCATTTGTATGCTTCTGATTGCTAGGTGGGCAGCAATCAGCTGGGGCAAGTAATGGAAGCTCACCCCATCTCAAACCTAAGCTTTCCAGCTGACAAGCACAGTGTCTTTAACAGCGGAGCTATTGTACCCTCTAAAAATATTGCAAAAAATAAGATAACTATGAAGGTATTTAGCAGGGATATGGTGTCTCAGTGGCTAAGATGCTGAGCTTATCGATCAGAAAGGTCGGCAGTTTGGTGGTTTGAATCCGTAGCACCACATAATGGAGTAAGCTCCCTTTACTTGTCCCAACTTCTGCCAACCTAGCAGTCGGAAAGCATGTAAAAATGCAAGTAGAAAAATAGGGTCCACTTTGGTGGGAAGGTAACAGCATTCCGTGCGCCTTTGCATGTTTAGTCATGCTGGCCACATGACCACGGAGACGTCTTCAGACAACGCTGGCTCTATGGCTTTGTAACAGAAATGAGCACCGCCCCCTAGAGCCAGAAATGAATAGCACGTATGTGCAAGGGGAACCTTTACCTTTTTATGAAGGTATTTAGGACTTAAAAGGTGATTAATTTCATGGTACCTCATCTTTATCCTTCTTTTAAGATTAATCCTAGATTTACTTCCCTTTTATTGGATGAAAAGTAGAATAATGTGTCATAACACTCACTGCGATTGTCACATTTGCCAAGAGAGCAGGTCCTGGTCTGAATGGATGGGCCTCGGCAAGTGTTGCTGGTAACATCACATGACCTTCCCCTCTGCTGAGTTCCAGGTCCACATGTGACTGAGCATTCTGTCCACTCTGACCAGGGAGACCAGCCTTCCTCCTTATCATCAGCTGCAAATCAGTAGACACAAATACTCTGAGACGGTCCCGTTATTTACAAATATTAGCCTGCCATAATTTACAGATAGGTTAAGATTCAGAAGGATGGAAAATCCAAACAATCAGAAGGACAGGAGATGCAAACAAAGCTCTGTAAAGTGCTAACTTTCCAAAATGGTATGCAGCCCAAAGCCCAATGACACATGCTTATTATTGTACAAGTTGTGTAATTTACTTTATCTCATCTCTATTTAGTGCTAGGTTCATAGAGATTGCTGTTTTTTAAAGAGGCCTTTGAAAACATCACAGTTTCCAAAACATCCCTTTGTTTTGGTTTGTAATTAGAATATGAATCTCACATGGAGAAATTTTCAAATAAACAACACCCCTAAAAACTGAAGTTAGAAAATCCCAGTATGAAGTTTCTGTTTCAAGTGCTGTACTATTTCAAATTGCAGGGTTTAATTGAACCAAGAGCAGGAAAATACTAATGATGCCAACATGACAAAACACATGCTGCAGCGTCATGCCACAATGTCTTCTTTTTTGCATGCGTGCCATAGTGCTACACACAAAGTAAACAAGGGACAAAGTTTGCACTAATATATCATCCCCCCTGGAAGCGAGCAGCCTTGTTGCACTTCCTTTTGATGCTATACAATATTCTTGCTTCTTCAGAGCCTTTCCACAGTGAAAGGAAAATATATTTGTGATATGAAGAGCTCAGAGAGGAGAAAGTAGTGACAATTCATGTGTTGCTGACAAAATATAGAGTACTGATTCAGCATAGTTAACAATCCCTTTTAGGCTGTAAAATCGGCAGAAAAGTAACACTTCTCTCCTGCAACTTTGATGACTGGCTTTTGAATTTTGCAGTATGATTGGTTTGTTTATAACCAGGATCCAACACAAGTGAAGCAGGGTAAATAGTCAACACTTTTGAGGACAAGGAAAATTGGCAAATCAATTGCCTAATATACAAGCTTTTCCACCCTTCAGCTTTCTTTGAATTTGCTATGGAACAACAAAGATAACTTTAGAACTTAAGCAGAGCAATCCTGGACCAAATCAAAGGCCTGCAGAGTCTGATATTTCTTATGGTCTTAAAATCAAATTTAAGACTATACCAAAGGTTTGTAGAATTTATCCAACATTCGCAATACACTCAATGCTCAATTGTGTCCCTGTATCCTTGAAGAACCAGCAGAACTCTAATTGGCTAACTTCACTCAGATGAAATCAAGGAAGATTGAGCAAAGCACATTACCTGTTTAGCTGAATGACTTTATTATACTTTATTAGAAAAAAGTATTTGAATAAAGCACAGGGTTAATCATTTCTCATCTTACATTATATATGATTTTTACACACTGATTCATAATTTCATGAGATCAAAAATACTTTTATTGCATTCTGTTAAATGAGTTTTGCTTATCCACCAAACTGACACTCATAATTGCAGATATATCATTAAATACTACCCAGTAAACAATATAATCCATGCCTTGTGTGGTGCAGCAAGATCAGCCCAAACAGTCAGTGCACCTACAGATTTAGGAAGTTTTTCTTTCTACTTGCTGTCAATCTCTTTGGAGGAAGAGCCATGGGAACCAGCTGAAAACTGATTTCCAAGATCTCAGAAATGTGAGGCTACTATGATTTCTTGGGGTGCAGTACACCCCAAGAATATCAGCAAGAATGTTGGCAAGGATCCTTGTTCTCCATTGGGGAATTGTCATTTTATTTCAATCTGCACTCTTTTCCCTGTGCAACCACATTTTTTTCTTTGGTTACTGAATTGTTTTTGGCTTATCTTAAATACAGTGATTATTGGCTTATCTGAAATACAGTGAGGCCGCACCGTACAAATTGGGGAAATGTTGCATACTTACTGTGGGAGCAGATAGGACAGCACTCGCCATCTATAAAAGTTGGACGGGCGCAATGCACAGGCAGGCATGTGATTTTATTGCACACCGTTTTAGAGTTCTACATGCAAAAAAAAAAAAGCAGGGTCAGATTATAATACAGAAATGAAGTCAACTAAAGACATCTCTTTAAAAAAGTAGAAACATGCAAATTATTGGAACTGAATTGGGTAAGCTGATTTTCTTTTTGATAAAAAAGGTATACCAAAAGATATAAAGTAGAATTTGCTATTTTCATGCAGTAGCATATATATCTCCAGTGAGATATCACTGAGAACTCATGGGTGAATAAGCTTGATCAAAAGGAGTTATGGATAATATCTCCATCCTGGTCCTTCTGTTATATTCATTTTTTCACTCACAATCTTGGTTGCTTAGTCTATATCCAGAACATCCCTAGGATGTGAAGGTAGGGGTTAAAAAAAAAGCCAAGTTGGCATGATAAAGCCATCATGATGCAAACCTTCTGTTCATGTATGATTAAAATAGATAGATAGATAGATAGATAGATAGATAGATAGATAGATAGATAGATATAGACATAGACATAGACATAGACATAGACATAGACATAGATATATATTTGTTCTCTTAAGTTTTTGCGGGTACTTACATGTATGGTATTCAGCTTTGTTTGGGTATTTTTCCACGTCATTATAGTTCTGCTTTTAAAGTTGTAGCAACTTTTCGGAGAATCTCATCTGCCATCATCAGGCTTCTGTATTGTGTTCATCTGTGAGTTAGACTTTTACAGCCGTTTCTGTTTTAAATTTGGGGCCAGCCTACTGCTCTGCCAGAATGGTTTTTTCATCATCCTGATTGGTTGGGAGTCTTGGTCTGTGTTTACTGGTCTTGGAGTTTGCTGTGTTCTGCTTGTTTGGTGTTTCTAATATCTTCTGTCTGTTTTGTGGCTTTTTTTTGCCTTGATTGGCTGGCAACATTGTGTTTTCTGTATTGGAGGCTTTTAGTGCGGCTTGGCTCCGAGTAAATGGACCGCTATCATTTATTAGGAAGCTAGGTTTCATCTGGGTGCCTGGTTGGGATGTATTTGAACTGGAGGTATCGGGGGGGATCTGTTTGTGCCCAGGTGTTTGCCTGGCTTGTGGTGTGGAGATTTTTTTGTTTGTGGTTGCAGGCTTCCAAATAATTGACAGTCTGGTGGAATCATCTCTTCTATTCATGCTTTCAGGTCTTTTTTCAATCTCTATGGCTTCTCTGATAATTCTGTAGCTGGGGTCTTCTATAGTGGCTAGGGTTTTGGTGCCATTGAAGTCGATGCTATGGCCTGTTGCATTCATGTGTTGGACTAGTGAGGAAGTGTGTTTCAGCTTTTTCATTGCAGACCCCCCCCCCCGATACCTCCAGCTCAAACACACCGCAACCAGGCACCCAGATGAAACCTAGCTTCCTAATAAATGATAGCCGTCCATTTACTCGGAGCCAAGCCGCACTAAAAGCCTCCAATACAGAAAACACAATGTTGCCAGCCAATCAAGACAAAAAAAAAAGGCACAAAACAGACAGAAGATATTAGAAATACCAAACAAGCAGAACACAGCAAACTCCAAGACCAGTAAAAATAGACCAAGACTCCCAACCAATCAGGATGAATAAAAAACCATTCTGGCACAGCAGGAAGCGAGTCCCAAATTTAAAACAGAAACGGCTGTGAAAGTCTGACTCACAGACAAACACAATACAGAAGCCTGATGATGGCAGATGAGATTCTGCCAAAACGTTGCTACTTTAAAAGCACAACTACAATGACGTGGGAAAATACCCGAACAAAGCTGAATACCATACATGTAAGTACCCGCGAAAACTTAAGAAAACAAATATATATATGGCATTCATATATAAATTTATTTTTTTATATTTATATATATATATATATACATACATATATATAAAGAATGGCATATATATGAAGAATGACACCAGACCCACACCCATGAGAGCCACACAAGATGCCACCACCACACTTCCACATAGAAAACAGACTCACACCCACACAGAAGATGAGACATGACCATGGACCAGAAGCCACACTGCAGCTGCATCACTACCCACTTCAAACCTCTCCAAGCCATACATGAAGCAAACCGACACCCACCATGAAGATGCGGCACAACCACGAACTCGAAGTCAAACAGCGAGATCACAGCTCACCAACTCAAATCCCCCAGCAACTAAGACTAACCTGAGCACAACCAAGCTCCCACCTGAACAGAACATGCCTCCAGCCAATCAGAACACGGCCAACCCCCCCAACCAATCAGAACACAGCCAAACCCCCTACCAATGAGAACACACCCCCACCCAATCAGAACACAGCCAAGCCCCCACCCAATCAAGTCACACCCTCACTAGCAGTTAAAAGGAAGAAGCAGCTGCAAGCTCACATTACTCTGAGAAGCACAGAGTTGAAGACACAAGCCTGAAGATGATGAATGAGACTTCATCGAAACGTTGCCTAGATACTTCCAATCTTACGCAGGAGAAAACCCGAATAACCAAAGATCCAAATACAAATACCCACGAGAACCTCAGAAAAAAAAATTATATATATATATATATATATATATGGATCTTTGGTTGTTCATATATATGATGGATGGATGGATGGATGTATAAAAGAGGTAGGGCTTCAATTGCATCTACCATCTTGCTTTTTTGAAATCTCCTCACTCATGTTGGATAAGTTGGATGAGGAACAGAGAAAGAGATTCAGGATAGTCCTACCCTAGAAACTATGCATATAGTAGGTTATAAGGTTATAGCTGTAATTTGGCAAGATTCTGTCCATTAGGTGTAAGCAAATAAAGGGTGGAACTTGATTGGATCTCACTGTCTCATCTCTGGGCTTGGTCTAATGTATACACACTCTTCTTATCAGTTCCCAATGTACCATTTTCCATAGTGGATGTTCTGTAAGTGAAGACCCTGTTGCACATTAGGCCACTGAAGATGGCAAACAAAATTTCACAGCCTGCCCACTATAAGAAGTCGAAGAAGACAAAATGTTTCCTTTCATCCTCACTTTGGAGCTTCTGAGCAATGGGATCTACTTCTATGTCTACTACTGTAGTATGGAGGCATGATAAAACTAAAATCTGAAGTGTTTTATCAATAATAGTAATTGCCCCAAGTATAAAGAACCATTTGTTGATACCAGATTCCATCACTTCTATAGCATGAGGGTGTTGTGGAAAGGAGGAGGAGCTGGGTTACTAAAAGGTGAAGAGTATAAGGAGAGTGAGGAGATGGTCTTCACTATGAAGGTTTTCATCCTAATATAAAGGAGGATATAAAAGAAAACAGTCTAGCAAGAAAGAACCCTATTTGGCTAATCTTACCATAGTAACATTAAGATGCTCTGTAATTCCAGTGGCCTAAGACTGGGATCTATTACAATTATTCTTCAAAGGATTTCACATGGCCTGGATTATGAACTCACCACCATTTTATAACTAAACATTTTACTCCCTGTGATAAATTCCCATTTGTTTGTTTACTGAATTCAATTTATATGACAGCTCATCTCACCATAGTGACTCTGGGTGGCTAACAATTTAAAAACACAACCACAATGAAAATAAAATACACAACTAGCAGCCACAGTTTTAAAAAAGACAATAAAACTATGATTTGAATAACCATCTCATGAGTAATGGCAACCCAACTTCTAAGCCCAGCTATTGTTGGGGCCAACCTGAGTAACAGGTGGATGATGTTCCATATAGCAGATGCAATAACAGGAAAGGCTCTCTACGGGCCTCATAACATTCCTCTTCTGCTTGATCTAATAAGATGGGTAGGTATAATTGGGACAGGTTGTCCCATAAATAAGTTCCTGTTCATGGTACCTTAGCGTTTGATTAACATTTAAAACAACAATCTATCACTCCATCAGCTAAATATCAAATTTGGAATTGGCTACGTTATATGCAATGGGATTTAGAGCATGGTTAGCATACTTAGAATTACAGACTATCTTTACCCTATTAACAATTGTTGCTCAAGATCCTACATTGGCACACTATAATAGTTTCTCATATTATTTTTTTAAAAAATACATCAATTGTATTCCTTTTACATTCTTTTGCCTGTGTGTGAAAATAACAGTTTAGACCAAAATTCAATCATATAAGCAACAGAAATGGAAGTTTATTAAGACCGTCTTTTGATGGTTTTTAATTCATCCTGAACATCAAGGCAGACTTTAAAAACATATCATGACTGAGATAAGGAAACAGTGTATAGTATGAAAAGAGTCTTAAAAGGCATACCTGACAGCTACATTTTGTACAGCTGTCCACAACCCAATGTGAGCTATTTGCAAATTCACGGCCATCTTGCCAGCAAGCAGTCTGGTTCTTCAGTGTTTTATTGGGACCAAGCAATTCTGATACAATTTTGTTATTCTCCTCTGACTGTACAATAAAAGGACAAACCATTATAAGTGAATACACCATAAACAAACAAATGTGAAACTTTTGCAGTTAGTTTAAAAATGCAGAATACTTAGAAAGGACATTATTTGTACCCAGATAATGCATCAGTCAAAAAGGAAGCAAATAATTCAATTGCCATATTTTTGGGGACAAATATGAATTAATATTAAAATTCATGCCTTTCAAGCTTATGCAGATAGCAATAGGTTCTTGTGGAAAAACTATTCCTCCGGTGGAATTTTATTCAGTATTGAATTGCACTCATCTAATACACATTAGACCACTTCAGATCTATTTCAAGTGTGTGGTGAGAGTTAGTGTGGTCCTGGAAGAGGACTGGGGAGGTCCAACTGGAAGTCCACTTTCAGCCACAGAAACTAAGTGGATGACCTGAGTCATTTTCATCTATTTCAAAGAGTCACTATTAGAGCAACAAGGCAGAGCAAGACAGTTTCTGGTATGAGAGGAAAAGAAGAAATAAGTCAACAAGCAAGCAAATAAAAATGTGCGGTTTTAATTAATAGCTCAGAGTTGGCTATAATCTCAACTAAAAAGATGGAACCATTTTGAAACTGGTATACATTTGACAGCTGAAATACTTTCCTATCAACTGTTTCCAAAGTATATGCCAAATGAATAGAGAAATAGGCCAGCAGAAGAGCTCAAAAGAAGAACAGATAAGAATCAAGGCAGACAGGAACTAAACTGCATCTCACCAAATTCCAACAGGACCAAGCAAAAACAAGAAAAAATAATAATAACTCTAAGTCATTTCAATATTCCAAATCCAATCAGAATTGTTCTTCCAATCATCTTTCGTTTGTAATTCCATTACAGACACATACAAACCCACATCTAATTCAGCCACCCTCATGTTGTCTTGAGAGCCAGTTTGGTATAGTGGTTAAGGCATCAGGCTAGGAACTGGGGAAGCCAGTGAGTTCTAGTCCTGCCTTGGACACGAAATCAGCTAGGTGACCTTGGATCAATCACTTTCTCATAGCCTTAAGAATTAAGCAATGGCAAACCACTTCTGAAAAATCTTGCCAAGGAAACTGCAGAGACGAGGCAAGACAGCTTCCTAGACTTTGACATGACTGATTGAACGAAAGACAGGAAAGAGAAAAGGTCTGGGTATTTTGGCTATTTAATTTACATGTTGCTAAGCTCATAGAAAATTGTGGAGTAAGTTATTATGTTGATGTCAGTGAATTGAATTCAAGTCTGACCAAGTCTGGAACCAGTCTACAGTGAAAAGCATGACGCATTCATTAAACAATATGTTACATAGTCTACAGCTTAGAATCAGCAAAGAGGGACTTCTGAGGTATTATGTATTCTGGCTTAAGGACAGGAAAGAACCTGTGCTTTGGAATTCTAATCGTGAATGCTAGTTGAATATCAAGCACAAACCTCAGGATATTCTCAGTGATCTTTATCAGTGTTTTAAATAAATAAGTGCATTTGTATGATACAGACAGACAGAACCCTCATACTTATTGAAAGTTTTTAGTCATGTGAACCCAGAAGGTAGACTAGAATTTCCACCACCCATTTCTGGAACTGTAATCCAACTATATCCTGGGAACCCAAGGCTTGGAAACCACTCAGAACGGGAATGACTGGAGTCACCTACCACACTTTTCAATTTATCAGACAAGCTGTTGATAACAACTCGTAGTCCATGGAGTTCAGCAAACATAGACCCAAGCTCTTCACAAGAGCGATCACAGAATTCTGCTTTCTTCTCTGTGTTTTCTCCAACATACTCTGTCATGATTGAAGGACCGAGATGCAGGATCTCTGTGTTCTCATTAATAGTGTTCACTTCAGCTGCAAAGAAAGAAAACAACATGAGAATGCGCATACCCCAAACCGTTTCCCACTGATTATAACCTTTGATTAAAATTATACATTAATGCATTAGAATGATTTCAAAAGGATGTCTTCTGGAACAGGTTCAATTCAAATCATGTCAAAGGGAGAAAAGTGGTTGGATACCAGCTCTTTTTAATTATTGCTTTCCACAGTTTAGACCCCAAATTTAAGAAGTATCCTCTCCTATCTCAGAAGGTAATGGAAAAGTTCTTTAGAAATACCACAGATAGCTGTTAAATTTGTGCAATTCAGTTACAGTCATAACATGCATCATACACAACATTGCCCTTCTGAAGTCTTTTCAACATTCTGGTTCCTGACAGAATTTTATTTTAAAAATGAAGCAAAGAAGTAATGTAGTTAAAATAAATGTTTGAGTCTTAATCATTTTCCTTCAGAAATGACTGCACAGGAGGAATGCTAAAGCACAGACATTAAAGATACCATAATCATCCTTTGTAAGGACTTTTAAAAGACCAAACAACTTGCTTGAACAAACTTAGATTTTTGATAATTATTGGAGACATTTCTTAGCATCACTGAACAAAGTTGAGTAGCAGGCATGTAGCTTTAGGAAAATAATTCTGCATTGCCCAATTGTACCCTCTTTTGTGATGAAAGGGTGGGAGCTGGGTGTCCACAAGGTGTGGCCAAAGCCATCATCTTGTCTTTGATTATACCCTGCAGACACCCTTGGAAGAGAGATCAAGAAATTATGATACCACCAATGAGATGAATGTGGTATGGAAAGTTGGCCCCAATTTTGAACTTGGCATAATTACCATGGTAGTGCAATCATTTGGATTGGATTCCAAAATCTTTTGATGTTCCAGCCAGGAACATCAAATACAGTTGTGGGCTATGGAGAAGAGCAAACTCACCACTGTTCTCTCATTGATGAGGCTGAGAGAATGGAAGATAAATGGGATGGAAAATGGGGCTGCCATTCTCTTCCTGCAGTTTACTAGGCTCTTTGAAAATCAAATGGATGGGGAGACAGGATGAAGAGTCTTCTGAAACATATTTCAAGGGCTTGAAAGAGTACCTCCACCATGAGAAGAGAAATCTGTTCTCACATTTTGCCCTGAGTGATGCTTGCCATCTTTGGCTCTTTCGAGGTACAAAAAATAAGATTAAGGGTGGGGACTGTTAAGTGTACTGAAAACCTCCCTAACAAAAGCACAGAGTAATCTTGACAGAACAGGTCTAGGATTGCATTGTGTGGATTTTCTGCTCTTCTTTTATCCTATAAACCCTATTTTCCACTCCACAAAATTGAAGAAATGAAGATTCCCTAAGTGTTACTATTTCAATGTATATTTCACTCCTTTTGGATAGACAACAGTCTTTCTAAACTGAGTTGGCAGAAAACTGCGCATTTCTGTCAGAGCATGCCTAATGCTGGCACAATGCTTCTTGGCAACACTTTTGCTAAAAGAACAAATGCAGGTTTTTTGTTTTTTTTAAAAAAAAGATAAATTCAGAGACACAAGTCCTAAATTCCAGATTCTTGGCATAAGTTTGAAAGTTACAAGGGAAGAGACTTGTTCTCAATATGACTAAGATTCAAGAATTTTAGACTTGAGAACAAACAGCCTTTGTGATCACAGAGCCAATCTCCTGCTCCATGCAAGATTGTTGCAACCACAGTATCTTTGGCATGGCCCATACCAGGTTCTTAGCATAAAAACCTAAGCAGTGACCTGGGCCATTTTATCCAGCTATCTGTTCTCACAATGGTCAACCAAAACAGCATAAGGAAGCCCACTGGTCTTTTCAGCAGAGGGCCTTCAGAGGTAACCACCTTGCCATCAAGGCTAATAGACATTGATCCCCATGTCTTTCTTGAATTGATCAAATCTAATAAAGAACAATCCACTGCACAATCCATCCTTCAGCTGATCCTTTCTTTCCACAGAATTATTCTTCAAACATTTAGTTGATAACTGTTTCCTTGCCGTTGCACCTCCTTCCCAAAAAAATATTTCTGTACTCTACACAATCACTTCCCTTGAAACAAATTTGGAAGCCCATTGTTTGTGTTGTTGTATATGTCTAATTTTTGGAATGGTCTGAAAAATTTAACACATGTACATTCCATTCCATTTTAGCATTACGTATCTTAATAAAGAGAAATGAAAACAGCATTCCTAGAACTCTTGTTTCAGAATATTTTAATTAATTATTTTTATTTCATAAACTTTTAAGCCATGTTCCATGTCTAGACATCTAATGGTATCTTTCTTAAGCAAAGTGCAAATTATAAGAACTAAGGCAATAACAAAGGTTATTGCTATTGCCCTCTAGAAGTTGCTGTTTAAAATGATCAGAAATCCCCTGGTATTTCTTCAATTGCATTACTTGTAGATTGTAATTGTAGAGAAAAGGCAACAGACTGACACGACCATGTTATGCTTAGTTATAGTAGTGAAAATCAGAAAATCAGAATGTAAATATAATAATAGCACAGTGCCAGTGTGGCTAAATAGGAGGAAAATGGATATTTGATCTGTGAATAATCCGAAATACAACTTTCATCAAAGAAAAACTGTTTGGCAGAGGAAAAGCTTACTGCTAATGATACTAATCAATTTAATTGTGGCGTCAACAGCTAACTAAATGCTCTTCCAAAGTCTATTATGAATTCTTCCCAGCACTGAGAAATTTGAATTACTTGGCTATTTTAAGACTTCAGACTAGAAACCCTAAAAATGCAACATTGCATAATGGAAAATTGATCAGGAAGTGGCACAGTATATGCTTAAGGGTCAACTTGATGGAATAAAATGACATCTTCCTACCATGTTGACAGAAAAGTATAATAGGCTGTCCACATCCAACATAATTAATGTGAGATTATGACATCAACCTCAATGGGTTTTGACCAAGCATATTAAGATTGCAATCATCATAATGGATCCAAAGGCAGTCCAAACAGTAACAAAACAAAACAAAATCCTGTGGGCAATTGACATCCAGGAAAAAACAATATCAGAATCTCCTTCTGATCATTTGCATAAGATAATTCTAAAGGGTCCATTTAATAAGATTTTTATATGTACTTAGATAAGGCTATTTCATATATCTTTGTCTTTAGCTCTTAATGCAAAAATACAGTATATTCCAAGTAAATGATATCTTCGTGAGATGTCATCTCTATTCAATTTTGTTTTAATGGTACTTAATACAAAATCTAAACTTTTAAAGATATCAGATAGATCCTAGATCACATGCCAACTTATTACATATTGGGTGTATGTACACTGATTTTAAGGTACATTTTAATATTCAGTCAATTGCCAGTTCTATTTTACATGGGATAATTACTTATGACTTTTCAGGTTTTTTTTCACCCCTGATTTCTTGACACACTAGCTTTGGTGGATTAGAATCCAACAACATTGAGAATATTTAGAAAGGGAAAGTTTATCAATCCTACATACTTCTTTTGAAAACTAGAATTGGGGAGATAGGATTGACTAAAATCAATCAATCAATGAAGTACTGAGTTGGAAACCAAGGTTTCTAAAACCTGCAGCTCATTCTTCCTGAGATATGTGGTATTATATTTAGGAGGTATAAATTTTTTAAAAAATTGACTCACCACTTTACTACTTACATAATTATAACACAAAAGATAAAAATAAAAATAAATTTTCTTTATAGGTGTGAAATCTGACTGGGAGACTTTGGACCTGTCAAACTCAGCCAAGTTGTTGTTGTGGGGAAAATGGAAGGAGGAAGGTGTAATAAGTATGTTCACCATCTTGAGTTAATTATAAAAATAATAAAGGTAAGATAATAAATAAATAAATAAATAAATGCAAAAGCCCATGCTTGGTAGGAGTTGTAGTGAGAAGTATAGCAAACAGAACAGCTCATGCTTAATTTTATTATCAACTATACTAAACTTTTCATTTTATTCATACACACTTCCATCCCCCACCCCCTTTTACCTCTTATTATACTGGTTTTTGGATTCAGCCTAATAGAGAAGAAAAATGTGCATAAATCCTGAATTAATAATACCACATCTTCTTACCTGATTGACTTCTCTGGCATCCTTTATTGCGCAAAACATCCTCTACTGTAGTTCCAAAAACCAGATAAAGATTTTGTAAGAGACCCTGGAAACAGACAGAAATATTTTTCATTATTATCATATATTTTAGGGATATTTTGTTGTTGCCTGTTTTTTTTAAACTGAATTTAACAATGAATAGATGAACAAATGCAACCTTTATAATGGTAAAAATGTTTCTCAAATACATTGCTTCATGGGTAAAGAGGTGCTTCTTTGACACAGAGTTAATATTCCCCCAGCTGTCTTTATAACATATTTTCAAAAATTCTAATATTCGTGATGATACATAAACCCAGTAATAAAGGAGAAATAAACAATTAGAATTAGAATATTTAAAGACTTTCTTAATGTGGACTTTAACAGACGATCTTGGTCAAATGATTATTTCTTGGTGTAATCTAGATCACTGGATCACAAACAAATCATGATAAGATGATGGAATTCCGGGGGGGGGGGGGAGATGATAAAAAGTACTCTGTGCTATGGAACAGGGGTATCAAATTTGATTTCACAGAGGGCCACATCAGGGTTGTGTTTGACCTCGGGGGGCCAGGGTGGGTATGGCCAGGGTGCTCATGGACAGCTCAACATCAATCGTGTTGGGATGCCTGTGGCAGCCCAAGCACTCTGCCAGCAAAAACAGGCTACCAAACTCCATTTCTGGCTGTGACGGCCTCCTGCAACCTTTTGCCAAAGAAAACGGAGCTTGGGAGGTCCACACACAGCCCTCCCGAGCTCCCTTTTTGCTGGCAGAGGCACCACGGACTGGCCTCTCACTGTTTCTAGGATGACCCTGCAAGCCAGATCTAAGCATCCCATAGGTGGGATCCAGCCCGTGGACCTTGAGTTTGACACCCTGCTACAGAGTAATATGACAACATTCATAATATAGAAGTTGGCTCATATTGGCTTCTAACACCCATATCCTGGGATGATGCAGAAAATTTTCTAATATCAATTTGATAACAGTCTTTACCAACCTCATGAAATCATAGTTTCCAGAATTCCTTGGGAAGAGGTTAGTAAGAAGTTATCTTTGATGGTTTTAGTCATGCTTTCTTCTAGATGGATTTGCAATCTAAGTTGTAAATTAATAATGTGTGTTTGCCCAATTACATTATATTCCTGCTGAATAGTTGAGATCTAAGTAGGTTAACTACTTTTCCATCTGTTTTTAGAGCTAAGAAAAGAGCAGAACAAAATAGACATGGAAGATTCACCTCCAATCTGCACCCTTCATTAGTGCAATAAGGTATCTACAGCCCAACAAGTGATCTGTGTAATAAAAGTTTAAATCCGAGGACATCTGGAAGGCTACAGATTCGTTACTCATGTTCTAGAGAGTAGGAAGGCCATTTCTAATTTTCCTTTTTCCCCTTTCAGATGCAGACTGACGAAAAAAAGATATACATGTCTCCTCCTCAGTGTGACTAACATGGAATGAATGTGTAATTCAACATCTTTCGAAAGTTTGGATAGATCTACTGTTGTGGTGAAAAAAAATTACAGCTGTTAGCATCTGTATCCATCAATTGTTGCTAATCCGTCAATTAGCACACACCCCAGGACGAGATGCTCTATAGGCCAATTCTCACAGTATAGAAATGCTATGAATTACTAAGATTACAATCCTTTAGGTAATTTTTTTTGGCGTTCTATTCAACTCATTGGGACTTGCTTCCTAAAAACTGTGGCCCACTGGACTATTATTAGCTGCCCAGAGTCATGGGGATGAGAAGGATGGCCTATAAATTTATTAAATAAATATTTCTATTCCTCTCCCCCAACTTTTAAAGTCCAACTGATTGTTTCTTATTTAAAATCAAACTAGTACGATCAATTATTTACAAATAAATGCTGGGCCAAAGAAATACTATGGATTGAAAGACAGAATAAGATTTCAATTTTTCATTGGATTGAAATCTGGAGCAGCTTTTGCCTCCACAGAAAAGCCTACTAAGTCCTTTAACTGCTTCTTCTGGCACAGGCAACAAAACCAATTTTATCTTATTTATGGGTGTTGGGATTTTTTACAATAGCATCTTGACTGTGGATATGTGCTGTTAAATCCTTGTATGTATGACTTAATTCCTTTGTTTATATTGCCCCAAGTTCTTGATAAGCAAAGATAATAAGTCAGATATAGATAAATTACAGATGGGTATACTGGACTCATGTTTTGCAAAAGAGAATCCCTAGTTGAGCGGCCCTTATTTTATTAAATGTATATGCCACCCATTGCCCTATAAGACAACTCTGTCTTAAGTGCTTCTCTAAGATGATACCATAATTCAAAGAAACAAAGGAATCCTTGCAAGCTATTGTTTCAATAGCTCCTACTTAGCTCCAAATTTCTAAAGTTGCCTTTCCCTGCTTCCTGGTGTCATGCAACATGTGATCAGCAATCCTCAATAGTTTTTAAATAGCTATTTTATGTTCACTAAAGACATTTTACACAAGCTAATGGATTTTCAGAAATTCATCTGGTTGACATTTTAGTTAATTGCATGAGAAGTATTTCAAAATATTGTGCAGTTAAAACTATAAGTATGCAGGAAATGGAGCTCATTATTAAGTTCTCAGTGCTGGAGAAACTAATTTAGGTTTAATTAAAGAATTTAAGACCCTTGAGATGGTAATATATTAAGTCCCCTTAACATGAATCAGCATAAGAGGATAGAATGGAAGTCTAATTATATTTGGACAGCCATTACTTCTCCAATACCAGTACAGAGAAAGAAAAGCAATCCTAGAGCTTTCTGAACATGTAGTTCTTGCTTATCAACTGACTTGTTTAGCAACCCTTTGAACCTGCGATGGTTGAAAAAATAGCTTTGCGAGAAATCCTCACATAGTTCATTGCAGCATCCCACAGCCACATGACTAATATTTGCAAGCTTCACAACCAGTTCCAACAAGTAGAATTAATAGAGAGCACAGAACTAAAATTGCAAGTTATAGTAGTGTAATGTCTTTGTTTAATGACCCCAGTGATTTATTTAAGTACGGAAATGTAAATGACATCATAAATCTGGCATAGTCGTGTGATTTTTTTTTTTTTCAACTTAGCAACAGAATTGCCAATCCCAATTGTGGCTTGATGAGGACTATCTGGAAATGGTGAACTGACAGCTGATTCTGCTTCAAAAGATCAGACATGAAGGATTGGAAGAAGATATCATACAATCCAGGAAATTCTTGGTCAAACTGGCCACTCTTACCTTATTTCTTCGCTCATCTGATAAGCATTTAGAAATACTGGATATGTCATTTTCTATTTTACATGCTACTTCAGAAAGTGTAACACAGTTGGATTGTTTTCTCTGGTTATGCAAGCTGTGAATTCTGGAAGTTTAGTCCAGGACACTAGTATGGAGAAGGTTGAATTGAAGCAGTGAACAATGGAGATGAACCTTCCCCTCTAGTCTTTCCTCCCCAAAGCCCACTAGTAATCTTGAGACAGTCACTGTGACTTCTAGTTTGCATATAGATTAAGTGCTTTGCCCCTGGGAGGAGGAGAAAGAGGAGGAGGAGAGGAAGGAAGGGGAGGAGATGATTGCAGTTTTCAGTGACCACTATGCCATGAACTGATCTAAATCAGAGCTGTCAAACTCCCGGCCCATGGGCTAGATGCGTTACGTGCCGGCCACGCCCTTGCCCGGTTTAGCGAAGGGGGGAAAAGTCCCAATACATCACCTGATGATGCCATGATGACATGAGTTTGACACCCCGATCTAAATAATACAACTTCCAGCGTACTTACCATACTTTTCAGATTCCAAGTCAACATTTTATGCCATCTTCCCTGGGAGAAAGACTCCATGAGTGGTAGTTGACATAAATAACACTCAACTTCCAGTCCTTTACTTCATAGATCATCTGTCTTGTAGGATACCTACCCGAAAGTGGCTCTCTCGTGTAGCTCCCCTGACCACATACATGTTACTTTTCTCTGCTTTCAGGTATTCATAGAAAGGTTCTTCCAGGGTCAAACTGTCAACGAGGTCACAACCAACATAGATGCTGTAACTTTCTCCTGTAACTTGCACCGTGATATTCTTCCACTGCACATCCGCCAACTCCACGTCTTCCAACGAATGCCGTTTCCAGGCTCCATCAATCCAATAGGAAAGTTCAAGCGTATTTTCTTGACCATTGGAAACAATCTCAAACTGTCGCTGAAAGACGCCAGGACCTTCCAATGCAAGAATGGTCCCCTTGGAATTCCTATCCTGCCTCATGGTGACTGAAAGTATGAAGCCCTCATTTTGCTGCATCAGTTTAATAATCTGTCTTAATTTCTCTGAATTAACAGGAGGGATGCGATCAAACCGGATGAAGCGATATGCTGGGACATTAGAAATGTTGCCCCGAAATAGTTTTGCTCCGATTGTCTTTCTGTTTATGTTGCTGATTTTCAGTAAGTCAAAAGAGGTCCCATCCTCTCTCTCACCATCTGCAAAGCCACCGCCAAACAGTGACATGGTTACAACAGAGGAATGACCAATCATCTGTCCAATATATCTTTCACTCTGATACAGTTTTAGCATAACTAGTTATCATTACTCTTAAAAGTTATACAGGTTGTCCTCAACTTACTACCACAATTAAACCCTACATTTCCATTGCTGAGCAAGAGAGTGGTTAAGTGAGTTTTGCCCCATTTTTGCCACTGTTGTTAAGTGAATCACTGCAGTTGTTAAATTAGTAACACGGTTGTTAAGCAAATCTGGCTTCCCCGTTGACTTTGCTTGTCAGAAGGTCGTGAAAGGTGATCACATGACCCCTAAACATTGCAACCGTCATAAACATGAACCAATTGTCAAGCATCCAAATGTTGATCACTCAACTGTGGGGATGCTGCAGTGGTTATATATATGAAAAACAGTCATGAGTCACCTTTTTCACTGCTGTTATAACTTTGAATGGTCATTCAAGGAATGGTTGTAAGTCAAGGATGACCTGGAGTGCAATTTGCAGCCATTTTCTCATTTATTCTCACACACAAAAAAACTATAAGGTAGAACATATATATCTCAACATTATAGACTGGAAAATTTAGACTGAAGGTTTTATTTGTTTTAAACTTCAGCTACCTAAACCGAATATGTTCATTAAAGCTTTCTGATACTATCCTACTTCTCTTATCAATGGCCAGCATTGGATAAATAATTAGGGAATTACTCAGTGGGTATCATTTAAACTCAGGCTCATACTCATATATACTGCATCTCAAGCTCCAGACTTAAAACACATTAAACACACACTAAACTATAGTTGGTTTACTGAATAGTCCAGATGTAGATAGTCAACATATGGTATAAGATACTGTGTGAGTCCTCCCAGCATGTGAAAAAGTAACTTTGCATTGTTTCAGGTGGACTTTACCTCCCAGGATATTTCCACGGACAACTCGTACTTCGTGATGTTCCCATGTGAATGGAGGGGCTTAAATATCCCACCCATGTCATGATATCATCATGATATCATTTTTACCATCTGCATGGTAACATCAAGACATGCCTGACATCCTTGCTTTGAATGTTTACCCACTTACTATGAATAATTGCTGCCGTTTGGCATGAAGTGGTTTTGTCTAGCTGCTACTGTCTCTTGCTAAACTATATGAAAAAGATGTGCTTATTGAAACTGAATAAAAATGCAAGCCAAATCTACTGGCTTGCCAGGAAAGATGCAACACTGCAGCATCTGTTGAAGCGAAGGACAACCCCTGGGAGCTTCTCAAAGAAGAGCAGCCCATAAGCAATGCCTAGTAACCCCAGTAGATTTAGAGCTGTTTTTTTTAAACAATTGGCCGAGCCTTCATTCTCAGAGAGAATCAAATTATAAATACATGTACTAGCCAAATAATTCAAGGGAAAGAAGAAGAGGTGCGATCTTTTAATCATGAATTAATGTGATGTCTAAAGCCTCGCATTGAGCTAGGTTTGTTCCCTGTTTGACCTAGGTTTGACCTAGGTTTGTTCCCTGTTTGATCTAGGTTTGTTCCCTGTTTTAAACATTGGGCCTTTGCCCAGTACCAGATTGAAGTGCCCTCTATCAGTTTTTCAGCTGGCAGAAAAATGCATCAGCATGACAGCAATCAGTCTCTAATCTGCCTCTATGGACTCTTCTCAAGCCACTGCAGCAGCCACATTTCCCTCCAAAGCAAGGGGTCTTCAAATTTGGCAAGTTTAAGACTTGTGGACTTCAACTCCCAGAATTCCTGAGCTAACATGACTGGAGGAGGAATTCTGGGAGTTGAAGTTCACAAGTCTTAAAGATGTCCAGTTTGAAAACCCCTGCTCCAAAGTTAGGAAAAGAAACTTAGCAGATTTTACAGACTTTGAGGCTGGTCTTGGGAAGTGTAAGAAGAAGAGGGAAAACCCAACTCTGACACCAGTTTAGCTAAGGCAGCACGTGCCATACAAGTCTAGTGAATTACAGGTAGTCCTTGACTTATAACCATTTGTTTAGTGGCCGTTTGAAGTTGCAATGGCCTTGAAAAAAGTGACATGATCATTTTTGGGACCTTTGCATCCCCCTGGTCATGTGATCAAAATTCAGGTGCTTGGCAACTGGCATGTATTTTTGACAGTTGCTGTATCCTGGAGTCATGTAATCCCCTTTTGAGACCTTCTGACAAGCAAATAGAATAGAATATAATTCTTTATTGGCCAAGTGTGATTGGACACACAAGGAATTTGTCTTGGTGCAAATGCTCTCAGTGTACATAAAAGAAAAAATGCATACATTCATCAAGAATCATCAGGTACAACACTTAATAATAGCCATAGGGTACAATAAGCAAGTCAATGGAGAAGCTAGATTCACTTAACAACTATGTTACTAACTGAACAGCTGTTGCAATTCACTTAATAACTGGGATGAGAGACATCATAAATGGGGCAAAACTCACATAACAACTTAGCCATAGAAAGTTTGGGCTCAGCTGTGGTCATAAATCAAGGACTGGCGAATAGGCAGCAATAGAAATCTAATAAATAAAAATTATGGTTTGGTCACCCAGTCAGCCAGTTGTTCAGACTGAATTTGGCATTTTTGCCCATCTCTCAAATCTTTCCCAAGGACTTGGAATAAGCAGATATCGTTTACTATGATTGTTATATATACACAAAAATGTGCTATTGTTTACAGTTATAATTACTTTTTATCAGCTGGTGATCAGATGAAGGCAATGTCATGGGGACGGGGTAGATTTTCCTTTGAATTACATCATGCCTGTGCTGTGGGGTTAGGGAAGAGTGGAGAAAGCTTCCTTATCTACATGTCTCCATCTCTTTGACCCACCCACCCCTCCTCCTCCTCCTCTGCCTCCGCAGCTTTTGAGACAGGCCTATTCCAACTTCATATTTTAGCCATGCAGTGGAAAGGCATACTTGAGTAAGAACTCTTAAGGGCAAGCCAAAGTCCTGGGCACACAACCACAGCCTCCGTTTCATCAGACATGGCTATTGTTACTAAAGTTTCTGTCCGCTTTAAATTGTTCAAACAATGCAGAACTTCAATACACAATAGGGAAATTTAAAGACCTACCTTGAGCCTGTGATGAAAGCCACAAAGCTAGATAGACCATTAGCCCCAGTAACCAACTCCTCTGGAACATCATGCCTAGGAACAAACCAAGATGCATCCATTTTTGAGGCTTCTTTAACCCACTTTAATTTTAACCACTTAACTCATTCCCCACCCCCACCCCCCAAAAAACCAGCTAAGAAAATTCCCCTGTGTGACAGAATATAACATTTCTCAATGGTTGTATATAGGGAATATATAATACTCTGCTGCTACATGGGATATGTTTACTTTGGCCATGCATGCATAATTAATCACTTGATCTGGGCTTGATTATGACATTAGTTAAAAGGCTCATTTGAAATGCAAGGAAAGTAGTCAGGGAAAAACCCTCCCTAATATATTCAAGGAGGCAGATATACGATATGGACAGAATTCCTTCAAAAGTTTTCTGTGAGACGTCTGGGTGCTGGATTGTCTATTAGCTACTGAATCTCTTAAAGCCATTATTGGTTAGCTGCAGAGTTACATTCTTAGAAGATAATGATATTTCCAGCAGGGAGATAATATTATACTGTATATATATATATATAATCATGTGCTAATGCTTCAGCAGCAAATTCTCCTTTCTCTCGCCTATACCAAACACTTATGCATACATACAGTATATATATACACACACACACACACACACACACACACACTGACCACCGGAGAAATAGCAGACAGCTTATTTCTCTCAGTATCTATTGTATCGGCATAAAACACTTCATTTTGATCTGTTCTATGTTCCCAGCATTCTTCACTCATAAAAATATTTAGATTTTGTGATCTAACCATAAATATATGTTTTCAACGGCAGTTCTATATGGAGTTCATGGAAGTCTCATTGAATAATTAATTGCTAACAGAATGTTTCACAACTAAACTGTTAACTCCAGCATTGAAATTTTAATATGATCTGCAGGGTTTTGTTTTGTTTTTTAAAGTAGAACATAAGTTTACTACTGCTGTTTAAGATGGTACTATAGAGCTCATAACTGGGTGTTTATTCCACATCAAAGCAGGAAAATTCAGAGCCAGTTAAAAATAAATTCCCAAGTCAAAAATGTTGATAGGACAAACATGAAAAGCTACACAACGTAGCCTAGCCATTGACAAACAGAGAAAATGGCATATTAACATACATACACACATACACTACAAGTATAATCTCCGTACAAGATGAAGTTAAGCACTATTTCAGCCAATTGGGAGATTTAATATTGTTTCTACATCTATTCAAATAGGCAATATAGATACAAGTTCCTGCAAAGGTTGCATTTTACACTGTACCCGGATTATACTTTGAGAGGAAGGCTTATGGACCATGGATTTGTCTTTAGGAAACCAGCAGTAAGGATAAGGGTTGTGCTGAAAGTCCATCTGAACGCTATCAACTTTGCTAATGTTTCAGCAGCAATTCCTGAAAAGTCCATCGGAAAACTATCAAGTCCCTCTCCCAAGATAGAAAGGACCATCAAATAAATGGAAATTCTTATACCGAACTACCGCGGGGGATTATTTTTATATTTTTGTTTCAGAGGCTGTGACCCGAAGATGCTCTGGTGGCTTGTGTTGGGTGGAGAACGCAGCTTTCTTCCCTTCATAAACACTCTCCGGACTCGAGAGAGAGAGAGACACGTATAGCCTTGTCTACTTGCCTTGCGTACTTCTGCACACGCAGCACCAGATACTGGACAGTTCTGACCAAAGACTTAATGCGTCAGTTTGGGGTAGGAGACTTCCCCACAACTACCTCCTCCTGCATATAGCCCCCCATTTCCTCCCATCTAAAAGGACGTGTGGCAAGAAAAACGCCCCAGCGCTGGATTTATTTGTGTGTGTGTGTTTTAATGACTTCTAAAGATAGATTTCAAAAAAAAAGGATAGATTTTTTAAAAAAATCTCAGTTGAAAAGCTCGCTCGTTTTTACAAGAGGTGTTAGGGAAGGCATGCATTCTTACTACCAAGCTAAGTGTCTGCGCTAATAACATTAGAAAGTCGGCGTACTGGGGTGGGGGGGGAGGGGGGGAAGGGATCTGGACACAGACAGAAACTTTAATTCTGGCCCAATATCCCTGGGACAGGTCCCGAAGAATTGCATCGGAATAGACAGGAACCGAAACAGTTGCTCGGTGAATTAGATGCACGAGAGATGCCTGTCGGAACCCAAGAACTTTTTGTCCTCCTCCAACACGCGCGTTACCACCTCCCGGAGTTTCGTTGAGGCAGACAGAGGAAGGAAGAGACTCTTAGCCAAAGCCACGTGTCGGTGTTTCCCGACCAGGAAACTTTCTGAAGTTGGTTTTTTTTTTTTCCCCTGCTCCCTCCTGTGCGCCTCTCCGAGAAGCAGTTGGCTTCCAAAGTCCTACCTGCCCAGGAACGTTCCCACGAACCTGCGGGGGTTTAATTGCTGCCCAATCCAAGACCAAAGAGACCAACGTGTCCGGCCGTTGCACGGAAGCGCGAAGCCCGGCTCCCTCCAAGCACTATCCTTCGGCCGAGTGCACTGGAACAAGCAGCCGCTGGGATGGATGCCTTTGAAGTGACTCCCCAGCCTTTTCGCTCGCCCGCTTTATATAGCCAGGCGCGGGCTGTCAATCAGCCAACAGAGGAAACGCGGCCGCGACCTAAACAATTCCAAGCAGACAATTTGTAGCCGTCTACCTGGAAGGCGATCCTCCCCCCCACCCTCCTCTAGTCCAGCCACACGCTCAACCGCAAGCACTCCTTCTCCCGGCCCCCTCCCCGCGCATTGGCAGCCTTTCCTTCGGGGGAGGGGTGGAGCCAGGCGGGAAAAGGAGAGACCCGTTCCCAGCTGTTGCTCCCCTCTCTTGCATTAAAAGTCCCTATTAATTCTGGGGAAGCTAGGGAGCTGGTCTGCTGTTGCCCTGGATCAGACCGAAGCTACCCGGATAATGGATGGAAAGGATTGGAATAATAGGGCATTCAACTCTGGTCTCTACAATGTAGATAGATAGATAGATAGATAGATAGATAGATAGATAGATAGATAG